TTTTCCACGACATTCTAATTTATTGAGATGCACCTGTATTTTTAAGCCATTCTGGGACCTTGGCAGTCCACTGGTTTCTAATCACACTTTTATTGTACGGTAAAAGTAGTGTGAATATTCTGCTGAACTTCTCTTTTTATGTTAAGTATTGCATTAAAATATACTTAGTTGGCAAATTTGCAAACACTTAAAAAGTACACTACTGTTCAAAGGTTTGGGGTCAGTATGATTTTTTTAATAAATACTTCTATTCACAGAAATAATAGTTAATATTGATCAAAAATTCACAGTAAATGTTTGTAAATATTAAAAATATTTCTAATTCTTTCTATTTATCAAGGAATCCTGAAAAATTATTCTCAAAAAATATTAAGACACACAACTGTTCTCAACACTGATAATACAAATGTCTCTTGAACAACAAATCGGCATATTAGACTGATTTCTGAAGGATCATGTGACACTGAAGCCTGAAGTAAAGCATCAAAGGAACAAATTACATTTTAAAATGTGCTAAAAATGTATAATATTTTACACTATTACTGTATCTTGGATCAAATAAATAGAGCCTTGGGGAGCCATAAGATACTTCTATTGAAAACACTGAAAAAATCTTACGGACCACAAACCTTTGGTAGTGTATGAAAATTGGTAGTTTATTAAAAAAAAAATTCAAGTTTCATTTTTTAAATTTTACATTTAAAAGGATAGTTTAAATGAGGGTGTATAAATGACGTCTCTCTCTTTAAAATGTCTGTCATTCATTTTAGAAATGTACCTTAGTTACTCCAATTATAGTAAGGACATCTCCTTTGCACATGGGCAAGTCCTGGTCGGCCGTTCCAGGGAAGTTGTACCTGGCTACACACTCGGTGCCGGGAGGCCAGATCGTCTAGAGAGGGGAATGGGAATATAAGGAAAAGCCTTTGATGTACAAACACAGGATGCTGTATAAATGAATTAAATTCATAATTCACATTATAGCCAAATGGCAACATTTCAAGGTTTGTGTTACCTCAAAAGTAGACATAACTGAGGGAAATCGTCCTCTCACAGTCGACCCGTTTCAGCCGGTAACATCAGAGCTGAGCCTGAGGCATACAGCTGCAGCCAGAACTGGCCAAAGATCTGTGAATAAAAAATAAAAAAGTCATTATTCGATGCACTTTAAATTAAAAAAAACAAACAATACTATTTAATCAAACACTAAAATAACATTAACGTTAATTAACATTAACATTAACACTGAACATGCGCTTCAATGCTAAATCCTGAAAAGCATTTACAAGTAATAAAGATACAGAAAATGAACTTTAGCAATGACTCAAAATTAGATGTACCAAGCATGTCAGCAAACACTGTTCAAGCACACACACTTTCAAAGGGGAAGTGGCGGCTGTAGATTTTCCGATGCCTCAGACAGGAAGAAGGGCTGAGCAGCAAGCAGGCTTGCAAAAAGCCTGTTAAATATTCAGCGTGAGCAGCGTGTAACACTTTACACTTGGAAAAGCCTCTAACTAAAGCTAAATATACTGATGAACCTATATGGCCAATAATTTACATCTTTAAGATACTCAGAAACTCTACATAGACCATAATCACAAATTAGGTCACTTCTTGTTTTGAGAGTATATATACACACACACACACACACACATATTTTTAGGGTTTTTGTACATTCATTTTTGGAGACTGTTGCCATTATTTATATTTAAATATGTGAAATTAAATAAACAAAATATTTGTTTTTCTTTTTCATGCTAGTCTATAGATTTCAGATAAGTATGCTAGTCAGTCAGATTTTACATGTCAGTCTGATTATTCTGGTCCAAGTGGCCACTAGACTAGATCTAGTACGGTTTACTCAAAGATCTGGCTATGAGACTTTTGGTCTCTTCATGTTAACATGAGGTTAAATAAAACTGTGCTGTTCCACAAATAAAAATATATTACTATGGAAAAAATTAACTCGCACCACAGCTTGAGAACTGAGAACACCAGAAAGCAGAAATGAGAAGTAAAAAAAATTTAAAAAAACTTTTCACTTTCGTGGTGATGAGCAACGTGAAGTTATTATTGCTCTCTTTCCACTATGACAAGTTTTGTAGGGAGAAGAAACTTCTGAACTGAACTTGAACTTAAACTAAAACAAATGACACCTGCAAGTCTGCCATCCTCACACAACACTCTCATGGGAACAAATTAGCAGGCAGTTAGGGACGATTTCTTATGGGAATTAAACTGCACCTGGAAGCAGAAACCAAATTTACCTGAAACATTTCTGCTCTACATTAGAAGTGAACAAAATAACAGAAAGTTGTAGGCGGAAATCTAACAAGTTATATATTCTTAAACAGAAAAAGAACTTTAAAAGTCAACATGCAACAGCATTCGCAACCTATTTTTGTTTCGTAATGTGATGCATTTCAACGAAAATAAGATTAGGGCCTTGATTTTATTCATCGGTGCCATTCATTTGTGCACAATATAACCAGGAATGGTCATTAAGAAAGTAAACAGGCTCCGTTTTGTTTACTTCAAAGAATGTGCACGTTGGTTTTTGATACCTTTTGCAGCTATTTGCAACAGTTTTCTATCATTCTTTGTGTGCAACAGTGAAATTCACACTGGTTCAATCCTCCCACCTTATTTTCACAAGAAGCGCGGTGCATGCGGTGTGCTTGTGAACTACATATGATATGGCACTGAGCGCCTTGACCTCATTAATATGTCAACCAACGCTGACTGCCAATCTGTTCAATGCAAAGTAGCTCTGGCTTGAAAGCTGCAGCGAGCTCCACAACATGAAGTCACTTCCTGTTTGAGCTGCCGAGACTAAAACGGTCTTCCTGTATTGGCACGCAGGCGTTGGTGGGTGATGAGCACTATGGGTTGAAGGGTGCAGACGGCAAAAGGGGCGCCAACATCGGCGCAATCCACAGAAGCCCTTACAGTGAGGATATAACACACTTCCCTTTAAAAACACAGTCTTCCCCTGCTGCTCGGACTACCTAATTTTATACTCCCCAAACATAGGAATAGCATGAATCACCTAAACACAGGAAACTAATTGTCGTTGTAGTAGCTTGCTATTTCAAATATGTCCGAATTTGTCAGTTTTAACAGTTATTTTTCAAAATGCCTGAGTACAGGTACAAGGAATTAATGCACTGATTAATGCATTAATGAAACCATTTTGTTTGTATCATAGTAGACCGGCGTTTTTTTAGGCCAAGAACCCCTTGATGAGACATGGAGCAAGTTAAATATTGTATAAAATTTAGTGTTGCGCTTTAAGAAAACACAAAATAAAATAAAAACTAAACAAAACAATAAAAAAATTAAGACCAAAAACACAAAACAAAAAACTACAAAATAAGACAAAATGAAAACTAAACAAAAACAAGACAAAATACAAACAAAACCCCTAAACAAAAATAAACAAAACAAAATGAACTAAAAAAACAAAACAAAATGAGAAACTAAACAAAACAAGACAAACAAACAAACCTCAAAACAAAGGAATAATAAAAAATAAAAAACACAAGATAAAAAATATATATATTGGGAAATGACCTGTGCAATAAAATAATGCCACAAGTGGTCTGCAAAAAGTGGCAGGAAGAAACTTTGTTTCAATTTAAGTAATCAACTGTCTTTACCGCACTTGCCAAGTAAAGCAATGAGCTATTAATATCTCACTCTCATAATCCAGTTTGCCACTTGAAGCTATACCTGTGCTTAACAAGACACTTTATTAGTGTTGTTTGCTAAGGCATATATTATTATTACCCTCATCATCACATAAATCATCTTTCACATATACTTGCGATAGAGATTTGAACAATCCCTCTAACCTCATGCAATACACTTTGATGCAGAACTCCATCTGAAATTGTACAACCGAAGAAAAAAAAAAATCCCACTGATTTTCATCAAAGAATCTGCCCATAACACCCTAGCAACCACCTAGAAACATAAATAGAAATATGCTAACCCTGTAAACAGGCTCTGTGAAAAAATATTAAGTAACATATTTCCGACTTACATTAAATAATTTGACTGTCGCATTGACACTAAGCTGTGGAAATCGTCCAGATGGTGTTATTGAGTTTAAGCTCACCCTAAACAACCATAACAGAGGGAAACAAATGATGCAATCATGTGAAAACACCTAAAGTTGATGCACACAGACAAATAAAATGTGTAGCACATCAAAAAAGCAGGATACTGCCAAATCTGAGCAACATCCAACCACAAAAACGGCTCATTTAGAAAACAAGACGCTGACATTCAAAGAGGAATGTATTCACCAATCAAAATCAATGAGGCTTTTCTGTGATCAGGAACAATTTCGGGGTGTGCCTTGGCAAATCCCTCGTTACAAATGATATCATTGTTTAAGGACTGCATCGGCTGGGCTACGCCTCGCACAAGAGAACTTTTCATTCCTTGAGTATCTGAAAACTTGCTGCAAACTTCTGGAGGCCAGCGGTCAGCTCACTGGCACTGAATTCAAGCAACTCTGGTGGCTCGAAGATGACAGGGACTGCGGAAGTTTCCAGAGGGTATGATGTAGAACCAAAGCCTATCCTTTTATTCACAGACTTCGACAAAAGTGTCTTTGTATGCCAGAACTGGACGCTCCAACCCGGTTCTATCAAGGCTGGGTCAAATGAATCCATTTTGGTTTTAAGGACAACACCAGTATCCTTAAGAATCTTATATGTAATTTCACATAATAACATAAGTGTCTAGGTGTTGAGTAACTTGAGCACTAACAAGGCTATGACAGAAATTTTTTCAGTGCTTTACCAGTTATTCAGATTACTGGATAAGGATTAAAGATTAATAAAATTTAAATATAAGTATAATTGGTATACAAGGTACCCAAGATATTTATCATGCAGGATTTTAGTCATGCATGATAAGAACAGAGTGAAAATTATTAGCAACACCAAAATAACAGCAAAGCTAATGTTTCCTGTTAGTTTAAACACAAACTAAGAAAAGTAAACCCAAACTTTGTGGCAATAATTAAGACTAGGGCTGTGCAATATATCGAAATATCGCAAATGTACATATCGCAATATGCATATCGCTACAGCTTGCAATATTTGGGGCCATGAACAAAAGACAGAAAATCACTCACTGCTCTTACCTCAATAACTTTTGTATCTTAAATAAGAATCAGTGCATATTGAATTCAAAAAGTAAATACTACGCAGTGTTTTATTTTCTTTTTATTATTCAGTTCCTAAACTCATGTTAAAATGACATTTTTATGTAATGCTTGAGTAAAACACTACCGTTCACTTTCAGAAGTTGTTGTAGGGGTGCTTTGGGAATATCGCATTATTTAATGAGTTATCGCATTTTTCTTCAATTTCACACAGCCCTAATTAAGACCAAACTGAACATGGTGTGTGTTTATGGTGCGTGTCGGCAATGTTGTCTCGGCGGGGGTGGGGCTTAGACGATATGATCGGATATCGTGATATTTTTAAAGGCGATTATCGATAAGATATTTTTGACACATCGCCCAGCCCTAGATGATACTCAACTCTACCTCTCATTCCATCCTGATGATCCGACGACAGCTGCTCACATCTCAGCTTGTCTAACAGACATTTCTTGCTGTATGACGGACCATCACCTTCAACTCAGCCTTGCCAAGACAGAACTGCTTGTAGTTCCAGCAAACCCATTGTTTCATCACAATTTCACCATCCAGTTAGGCACATCAACCATAACTCCTTTAAAAAACAGCCAGAAACCTTGGAGTTATGACTGATGATCAGCTGACTTTCTCAGACCACATTGCTAAAACGGTCCGGTCCTGCAGATTTGCTTTATTCAACATCAAGAAGATCAGGCCCTTTCTTTCGGAACATGCTTCACAACTCCTTGTTCAAGCTCTTTTTCTGTCCAGGCTGGACTATTACAATGCTCTCTAAGCAGGTCTTCCAGCCACTTCTATAAAACCTTTACAATTAATCCAGAACGCGGCAGCAAGATAAATTTTTAATGAGCCAAAAAGAATGCACGTCACACCTCTGTTTATAAATTTCTCCAAATTCTCTAAAATCTCTTCCATCTTTATTTGACCCTCTAACTCTAGCACTCTC